CGGGCTCCGCCGCGGGTTGCAGGCCGCGAGCGCGCGCGCGCTCCAACCGGCCACCAACGGGGCCTTTCCGCCGGCGGTCCCCACGCGGCCGGGGCGGGAGGTGGAGGCCAACGGCGGAGGAAAGGCGGCCGAGGCGGGGCGGGGGCCGGCGGAAGAGCGAGCCCCGAGGCGCTGCGAGCGGAACCAACCGACCGTCCGGGCGCTGCTGCCGCCGCCGCCGCCGCGCAAGGTCCCCCCGGTGCCGCTGCAGCTGCCGCCACCGCCGCCGAGGTCCCGGCAGGGGGCGCGGCCGAGGACGTGAAGCCCATCGACCTGACGGTGCAGGTGGAGCTCGGGGCCGGGGCCGCCGCCGGGCCCGCTCCCGGGAGGCTACCGACGGCGGCGGGGGAGGAGGTGGCGGTGGAAGGCGGCCCCCCGGACCACTCGTACTCGCTGTCGTCGGGCACCACGTCGGAGGAGCTGCTGAGGAAGCTGAACGAGCAGCGCGACATCATCGCGCTGCTGGAGGTGAAGATGAAGGAGATGAAGGGCAGCATCCGCCGCCTGCGCCTGGCCGAGGCCCAGCTCCGTGAGGAGATCCGCGAGAAGGACCGGCTGCTCCACGCCGCCAGCGCCGGCACCCGCAAGCGCCACGGCCTCTGAGGGCTGCCGGGGCCCGGCCCGACGCGGGGCTCCCGACCTCGGAGCCTCCGCCGCCCTCGGTGAGGTGCCCGGACAGAGGGGAGACAGGATGGGGCCCAGCCCCGCGGCTCCCCCGTCTCTCCCTACCTGGTCCCTCCTGCCCCCGCACAAGCGGCCCCTGGCCATCACATCCCCCTGCCCGGACGGGGCGGCCGCCGTCAGCTCGGAGCCGAGCCCCGTTATCTATCCCACGTTACCCCAGAGCTGGCACTGCGGGTGCCTGCCCCTTTACACCAGGCCCATCCGCACCCGGCAGCAGCAGAAAGCTCTTCTTTTAGCGTTGATAGGACCCGTGCCACCACGAAGTGGCCGGAGGGTATCAGTTCTCAGCAAATAAACTCTCTGTGTGCTGAGTGAGGTAGCAGCAACACTACCCCCTGCAGAAGGCATGTCTGAGAGTGTGGCTGGCACCGGACCCTTCCCAGGAACGAACAAGGATGTCGTGTTTGGCCTCGCTTAGCAGAGGCCCGAGGAAAGCTTTAGAAACCCTCTCAGGGTGATGTGTTTCTTCAGTAAATTACTGATGCCATAAAAGACTGCTGTTTCTAGCGTGAAAGAATCCCCAGATAAAAGAGTGCTCTTGTATATGTAGGTTTTTTTTGCTTTCTCCGCAGTACATACGTATTTGTTACAGGCGTCTCCGTGCTCTCAACCCTAGTAAGGATTACGACCCGGTACTGAGAACCCGGTGCCATTTGATGGCTGTAGTGTATCTCGTTGGCTAAGAACTCCCTCTTGTGAAACAGAGGCTTTGTAACACGTCGGAATGTAAATCCTCGGCTTTCTCTCAGAGAACGGGGACGAAAGAGAAGTGCGAGGAGTTTATCTGCAGCAGCGGCAAACCCTTGCTGTCTAATCCTCAACTAGTGGGCACGACGCGTCATCTGTACATTAGGCGAGACCTTACCGAAACGTGCTTGCGTGTTCTAAACCCGGATTTAAGAGTATTGTAACAAAATCCCCGTGGCATGATTGTGTGGTTTCTGTTTCTAGCCAGCCATTAGTCCCCTCGCTTTTCAGCAACAGGAAACCAAATCGATGGTGGCTCAAAAGACGGTGGAGCGAGGGCAGCGAGGCTGGCCTGAAGGTGTGCCTCCAGGGTTGCCGGGGCAATGGATATCTCGGGGCTGAGGAAGAGGAGGGTATCTGGTGTCCCGTGCTTCGCTGGCCTGGCAGTTGGAAACAAAAGGCAGTTCACCACAGTGTGCCCATCCTGAGGTCGGAGGGAGGAGCGCCCAGGCGTCCGTTGGGCACGCGAGGTAGCTCTCCTGAAGCAGAGTGCGTTGTACTCGGTACATCGGGATGTCAGTTTTACTAAGTTTTATAGAAGTATTTTCTAAATGTAAAAAAAAAAAAAGTATTGTTAGTTTGAGAATATTGTAATCTTTGTAACACTGGCTAATGTAGCTCTACAACTCTCCGTTGGGATACTCTACGGCCAAACAGAAGGGCGCGGTGGGATTTGGCAGCGGGAGGTTTGTCCCTGGATCATGGAGCCCGTTGAGCGACAAGGCGTTGGTTGTCGCAGCCTGTGAGGTGATGCAAGGCACATTTCTCTGTTAACATGTACTGAGTTGGATGGTGGACCGTAAGGATACTACAGGTCTCTTCATGTACTAAGTATTTCCCATTATTTCATTTTAATTTATTATTTTCTCCAATCTGATATGTAGCTCTTAACTGCAGCTCCGTGGTATCCTGATCTTCCTGCCAGTCAAGTAAGCAGCGATTTTGTTTGTTTGTTTGTTTGTTTTGGGGTTGGTTTTTTTTTTTTTCTTGTAAGGAAAGCAGATACCTGCTCCACCCTCTGATTTAACATATGGAATGGGTCCAGCAGATCTCGATGCTCCCATCAAGACAATAGGCAGCACAACGTCTCCCCTTACCAACGACACGGGTTGTGCGTCCCAGCTTCTCCACAACGTGCGTGGCTTAACAGTCGTGGTATTTTTTTTCTACCATTGGAATGCACTTCAGGACGTTCAGCCCTTCGGCCTGCTGGACTGGTTAACTGCTGGACTCTTCCACTTCTCCAGGTTACACTGAGGTGCTAACATGCTTAATTTTAATAAAGTATATTTTGTTTTGTTACGTTTCCTGTTTCCGTGCTCTGTGTGTGTGTGTATATATATATATATTTCTAAAAGGTGGCTGGAACTTGTCTTCTCTTTTGCAACATTAATTCCTCCTGAACTCCCCAGCTGCATGGGAGTGAATATCTTTACATTCATGTAGGGTGAGGAAGAGGAGTTCGAGGTTTGTTCAGTGTACGACGTGCCTGCCTGCACAGGTGTTATGGTTTGAGAAACGCCATGACAATTAGTTGTCATGTGGACAGTTATTCCATCATCTGATGACCCCTTTCCACCTGGGAAGGGGACTCAGGGAAAAACAAGGAAACACAAGGGTTGAAACAAACAGATTTAATAGGATAAGGCTAAATAATTATAATTAATAACACTAAAGAACCAGCATTGATCCAGATACCAATATAAAACGCACAAGGAGTGTCCCCATCCCGTTCCACCCCAGGGAGCCGTGCTCTCCCCGCAGGGACAGCCCATGTGGGACACTGCCAGCGGGAGGAAGGGAAGGGCTCAGGGCAAGGACTTCTCAGGGGGGCAGCCATCAAGGGACAGAGAGAGAGATAAACTCCTGGGCAAACTTTCTAATTTATACTGAATGTGATGTTCATGGTATGAAATAACCCCGTTGGCAGCTTGGGCCAAGTGCCCGGGTCTCGCTCCTCCTCGTCCCCGCACCCGGGGAGCTCAAAATCACCCAGACCTTGAGACCTGCACCCAGAGCTGGCTGTGAAGGGAATATTGTCACCAATTCAGACACCAGAGTCTTCTAAAAGTGCAGTTTTCCCAAGCATTAGAAAATCAATTAGTCCCGTGTCGCTCAAACCAGGATAACGGGGTTAGAGCTGTCCTGCTGAGGGAATGGCTGTTGGGAGAGGGGTGCTCTCTGAGTAGCCAGGAATGATCGGAGCCACACAGGGCTTCTGTGGGAGGGACAGCACCAACTCCCTGCGTTATCCATGGAGGAGAAAGGAGAAAGCACGGCCCCCCACGAACCAGCCTCATGCAGGGAGGAGCTGGCCTTGTAGTATCTTGGAATGTGTAACTCCACTTCCCAAAGTACCTAATTTCCAACGAGTTTAGAGTTTCAAACAATTGTAAGCGGCCAAAAATTTCAGCTGTGCCTCAAACGTCACATTTTGGGGTTGAACTGGGTACTTTAAATGAAGCTGTGTTACAAAAGTGAACACTTGTCCTCATATGCACTTTCCCCCCCTTTGCTGCTAAATTAAGCAGCGGCACTGGCAGTGAATTAAGAGGTTTATTCTGTAGGAAGTCACCTGAATATGCTAACAAATAAACTGTGTTACTGCTCCACGCAGATGCTCTTCCTTCTATTTCAGCTCCTCACTTTCCTGCATCCTGTATTCAAATCTAGCCTCTACCCAACACGTCTGTGTCTGCAGACAAAGTTTTCTAAACATTAATTAAGTAAAATCAGCCTTTGTGAGAAAGGGAGTGTAAGAAGAGCTTTGGCCACAGAGCCCCTGTGGTGGGCAAGGTGGTAACATGTAGCCTGAGCTCGATGTTCAGGTGTGGACGGGAAGGGACAGAAGGGCTCTTATGTGACAAGAAAAAGTAACAAGCAGAACCAAGTGGGAACAAGCCATGGAGAAGCTTCTCTCCAATGCAAAACCTTCTCTCCTGTAGGTGAAACCCTAACGGTCTTCTCTGCACGTGCACAAGGTTCCCTCGGTTCATCTGTATTTAGAGATCAGTGTCGTTCCCATTAAATTCCTGGACAGATGACAGCTTTCATGACCTCTGCCACAGCATCTTTCACAGCGTGAGTTCAAGGAATATTCTCTGGCACAAGGAATATTCTCCAGCGTCCTGCCCAAACTCCTCATCTACAGTTCTTCTCTTCTGTCACTGGAAGCCACTGTGTTGGAAGTCAGTGTGTTCCAACCCCACCTCTGTTTCCCTGTCTCGTATCCTGCCTCCAGCTTCGGAAGCTGCCTCCTCTTGCAGTCCTTCCCGCTGGTCCTACCTCTGCCCTGTGACCAGGGCCCTGATGGGGCAGGGCAGAAGTTCCTGTGCCAGCGAGCATCACGATGCAGAGGCTGGAGACTCCTCTGGGAACTGGTGTGCTGGAAAGCACAGGCCAACAGGCTGGACGGTGGATATCTCTCTGATACAGCCTCAGACATCCCTGCTCTCCAGAGAGAGCAGACATGCTGAAATTCTGGGCTAAATCAGGGCTAAATTGAAAGAGATGGGACTGACAAACCCAACCTTCTTCTCCATCCCCTTCTTTTCCTTCTCTGCATCTCACCACATGCCCTCTTTTTACTCTCAGGGGGTGCTGAGGCCTGTTCTTGGGGCTGGCTCCCCTTGCTATTCTTGAAGGGAGCTCAGGTAGTCCAACAGGCTCCTCATAACATTTTCCAGATCTGGGAAGCACCAGCAGCAGCCTCCCAGCACCAACGGTAAGGAGGAAGCATCCAAAGCTTTCACTGTCCTCCTGAGCAGAACACAGGAGTGCTCCCAGGGTCCCACCATCGCAAACCCGTCACCACCTAAGGGCTGTGTGAGAATCACGGAATCACGGAATTGTCAGAGTTGGAAGGGACCTCTAGAGATCATCTGGTCCAACTCCCCTGCCAAAGCAGGAATGCCTAGAGGATATCACTCAGGACTGCATCCAGGCGGGGCTTGAAGATCTCCAGACAAGGGGACTCCACACCCTCCCTGGGCAGCCTGTTCCAGGGCTCCGCCACCCTCACTGTAAAGAAGTTTTTTCTCGTATTTGAATGGAACTTCCTATGTTCCAGCTTGAGCCTACTGCTCAAGCTAAGAAGAAGCAGCTAAGAGAAATTTGGTTGGCTCTGGTCAGGATGTGGTGCGACCAAGCCAAGTGTGCACTTTTCATCTCATGCTTCATGGCACAGTCCTTCTTCATTGCCTCGACTATGCTTCGGTTTTCTAGATTGCACATTTGCTAGGGTAAAAATCATCTCTCTTGTCCACTTGCACATAGTGCCCAGCAAAGCAGGGCTTCGATGCCACCTAGGCTTCTAGGTGATACCCTTCTTAACTTCTACTAAAAAATAAAGAATCAGCACCATTCAGCTGCTGCCCAGTCAGCTCTCACTTCAAAGGGTTGACTGTTTCCGCACAGAAATATTACATTTCAGATGGGCGTGCTGGGCCAGCCCAGAGACCAGATGGGCCACTGCAAGGCACCAGCCACACCTGTGCTGGTCACACAACTCATCTGGGAATCACTACACAGGAAAAGAACAAAAAGTGGTGTGCTCTTGTGGGTGGTGAGGTTACCACCTGCTGATGGACCTTCACTGCTTCACTTCTCCCTGGGTATCCTGGTATTCCATCACTATGTCCCTTCTGACGGAATATGATTTCGGAACTGATCTAATGCTAGAAAAATATTCCTAAACCCCAGTTACCTCCTTCTCAGGGCGCTCCATTCAGCCCTCACCATCTAATTTATAGTTTTCCTCCCAAATCACATAGCAATTCTACCTCAAATTCTTACCGTGTCTCTCCTCCAAAAATTAAAACCTGCACAGAGCAGAAAGGGGCTACCATAGCTGGGCAGTCACACCATAAAAAATACTTATCCACAGAAAGGAGCTACTACAGCCGGGTAGCCACATCCTAACAGATACTTATCCCACTATAATAGCTATTACAGGAATAGCAGATGGAAAGTCAACAGCATTTTATCCTGCATTTAAGACTGCAAGTTCCAGGCTTGGGTCCTTTTTGGAACTGACTCCACAACAGATCAGCTAGAACAAGGGGGCCCAAGTGGTCCATATCATGCAAATCCTTCTCCTTTGCCTTTTGATATGAAGAATAAATGTTAAGTACCTTTTTCCATATATTCACATCTTTGCATTGGTGTGTAATCAGCCCAGTTCCTAGATAAACCTGAGGGTTGCTGTGTACAAACTGTTTACCTGTGTAAGAGTGTCACAGGCCCCACAATTTTAAAAATGAGTTTTGTTCATGACACAAATTCTTAAGCTGAGTCCACAAATAACTGTGGTCAGGATGGTGCAAGTAATTCCACTGAGATCTTTCCCCACCAGGGGAGAGACATCAGCGGCAGCCACAAGTTGCAGATCACATGAACACGTCTCAGGCTGGAAGCTGAAGATCTGAGAATATCATGATAAAGGCAATGAAAAAAGCTCATGGTTTTCCCCCAGGTATGAACCAGCACCTCAGTCAGAAAACAACGGGGAGAATGGAGAAAAAAAATCACCTGCTTATTGTTCAGCTGCTCTTCACCTGGACTCAGTGGAGCCTCAGCTGTCTGCAGTCTCCTTTTCCAGGCCAAGTGGGGTAAGAAGTTGTGAGATGGGGACCAACAGTGCTGACACACGGGTTTGCCTCTTTAGAATAGGAGAAACCTGTTGGAAAATACTGATAGCGTGATGACAGAGGAATCTAGGAAAGAGGTTCAGAGTCTGTCACCTTCATCTCCTTTTCCTAGTACTGCCCTCAGCAGCGAGCCCAGACAAACGCTCCGTGGACCTTCCAGGGTTGTGTGATGCCGTTTCTCTCCAAGAAGCAGACAGGTAACGCTCAGGCAAAGAGCTGGGCTAAACCACCACACCCGACTGCTCACCGGGCAACCACTGAGCTCTTTCAGGCTCAGCCCTACCACCTAACTACCACATCACAAAGATTCAGCACCTTTATAAGCCTTCCTGCTGCCGCTTGAGTGAACGTGGTGCAGGTCTCCGCATTTGAGACCGCACATTTTATGTTACTTCATTGTATAGCCCTTGTTAGGGGAGTTAAAAATAAATTTCAGGATCTATGGTTCTACCTGCAGCTCATTACCAACTTCCACACTCGGGCCACAGACCTCTGAAGGTGGGAACCCTTCTCCTTGGGACAAAATCCTGTCACTGTTACAACCCGAGGTCAGTTGTCGTCAGGGCGGGAGGGCCGAGAGGGTCCCATCAGCCGCCACAGCCACAACCCCCGGGGGAGACCGGGCCAGGCGCAGCCTCGCCATGAGACGAGGTCCC